GGATTCCTAAGTATAGAGTATACTGCCCCCAAGAACCTGAAGGGACCTACAAAGTGTTTTGCTTTCTTCTTAGGGGTGAAGGGTGGGAGATACAATAATTTGTTCTTTACTTTGGAGGGAATGTCCTGGCATGCCCCAGACAGCCTTAAAATTTCACTGATGTGTAAACCCTTGAATATTTGCAGGGGTTATCTCCAACCTTCTGGGGCATAGGTCTCTCAGGACTTGCCACTTATTGTTCATTCAGTCCAGTTAACACATCATTGATACAGTATGCCAGCGTGACATTCTGAAGAAGGCCCAGTTGATCCAGGTCCCTTCAGTCTACACTAAGTGTTATGTTGTAAGGCAGAGGCCTCTGCATCTTCTTCAAGCAAGGGGAGGGTGTTAGCTTTTAACAAAGGGAAGTTGACCATTTCTTCAGGCCCAAAGAGTTCAGGAGAATCTGGTGATTCAACATTCCCAAGTGAATTGATCCAGATGTCCATAGGCCTGGTCTCAGGGCCCCACTTCTTCCCATTCAGGGCATGACATTGGGGTAGCACACTTGCCAGGATTGAAAATTCATCTTCTTTAGAGCTATATTATCATTTTTTTGGGGGGGGGGGGAAGATTAGCCCTGAGCTAACTGCTGCCAATCCTCCTCTTTTTGCTGAGGAAGACTGGCCCTGAGTTCACATCCATGCCAATCTTCCTGTACTTTATATGTGGGATGCCACCACAGCATGGCTTGTCAAGCAGTGCCATGTCCATACCGGGGATCCGAACCAGCGAACCCTGGGCCTCTGAAGCGCAACGTGCGCGCACTTAACCGCTGCGCCACAGGGCCGGCCCCCTATGTTACCTTTATAATTAAGTCCAGGACCTGATCATCAGCTTCCTCCACCCTCTAGCTGAAAGAGATAAGAATCTCTTCATATGCTGCCAAGGAAGCCCTCTGACTTTCATTGTCTTTTTCCAATACATCAATAGCCCCCAGCAACAGCCATCCAAGCTCCCATAGTCTTCATGCTTTCTATTTCTCCCAAACCTATCAAATGCCTGTCATACTGTCTTCACCAGTGTTTTCCCTTCCATGGCACCCCATCCCAGTTCATCATCAGGGAAAGCTTTAAAAATTGCACCTCCACACCACACCAGGGCTATCAGTATTCCACCTACCACCAGTAGTGGTGTTTGTATGGCCAGCTGGTAGGCAGATGATCTGGCTCCAAAAATCTCATTTTCAATTCTGCTTGCTAGGAGCACTCCTGGTATCAACTGTCTGGGTGAGGTTTTCTAGGAAACAGACTCTGACATGGAGATTTGAGTTCAGGAGTTTTACTGGGAAGTAGCCTCAGGAACATACCAGAAAGGGAGTGAGGGAAACACGATTGGGCAGAGGAAGAACTTGATCTGTGATGTAGTCACAGCTGAGGTCTCAGCCTGTCCCTCGAGGAGTCTGGAGTTGAGATGGTCCTTCAGAGTTGTCTCAAATTGAAGCACGAAGCCCAGGCTTCTCGACCCTCTGGACAACCAGTCATTAGATTCATACTGTGGACCATCAGCAGCCCACACCCTTGGCAGCTGGAGGAATGAGTGCTCTGGTCCTGAAGAAGGGATCTGGACAGCACACCACAGCATCCACTACACCAAATTTCTACAAAAATCAACGGTATAGGGGAAAAATGGAGGGGGTACTATTATTATAGAATAAGAGATTTAAAAGGCAGAATGACCAAAAGCAATATATGGGTTTAGCTTTGATCTCCAACCATACAAGTCAACTATAAAAAGGCAACTTTGAGATAACTGGGGAAATTTGCTGGTGGAATGAATATTAGATGAAATTACATAATTATTATTGATTTTGTTACATGTGATAATGGCATGGTGGTTACGTAAAAAATGAGTCTTTGTCTGCTTGAGATGCAGACTAAAATAAAGGTGGAATGGCATGATGTCTGGAATTTGCATGAAAATATTTCAGGAACATAGTGGAGGAGGGAGAGATGTAACAAGATTGATAAAAAGTTTATATAACTGTTAAAGCTGAGTAAAGGGGGATAAACACTCATTCTGCTATTGTCTCTACATTTGCTTAAAATTTTCACAATAAAAACATTTAAGGACATGTAATGGGCAGTTGTGGTACGCCACCAACCACTGCCTGCAACACCACAAGATCTGTTGTTGCCACTCGAGTGCCAATTTCCCTTCCATGGTGTCTCCCAAGATCGAAAACTAGGCTGAAATTTAAAATATTAGATACGAGTTTCAGGGCGCTTCTAACTCTTTAGAACACAACTGTAACCATCAAAGGCTGCTAAATACAATGCTTTTCTGTATGTTGTTCATCAAATTATCCCCAGAGCCTGGCACACTGCTTGGCCCAGGGTAGGTGATAAATAGATGTCTGTGGAAATTGAAACGCAAGAAACACTCCCTGAATTCTCCTTCCTGTGACCAGCTACCACTCCCTTAGTTTGTTACTATCTTTTGCACTCTCCGGACTCTATTTAGAATCTGTGCCCAATGAACAAGGTCATGAGTTCCCACTGTCTTGTTTTTGGCCTTGTGTGAGCATTGGCACTTCAAATGCAAGTATTATTCATATTTTTATTATCAATAATGACCTTTCCTTCTCCAAAAATAACTCCCCTTCCAAGTGGGTGTTCCACATAAGTGAAATGTTGGAGAAGAGCAGTAAGAGGTAAAAAATGTTTCAAAGAAATCAAGACAGCAGGAAGTTGGGGAGGGGAAAACTGAGCTGCACTGCAACTGGGTAGAGAACAGGGAGGGAGGGGAAAGAGCGAGATCGGGGCAGACTCCAAAACCCTGAGGACCCGCAGGAAAAAGTGTCAGACTTCTGGCCAGGAACTGAAATGTACGTCTGCAAAATATGTATAGCCAAGCAACGAACTGCTTCAGCCTCCCAACATCCTTTCCCTAGGCCCCTGAAGAGCTGTCTCCCCACACCTTGCACCCTCCTGTTCCCAGCATCGGCAGTCAGTGTTGACATCAACGTGCAGAGGGCCGGAGCCCCAGGTAAAACAAAAGACGTCTGCAAAAACGCAAATGAGAAAGGAGCTCAAGGAAAGTTCATGATGGAAAAATAAACACAGGCAAAACAAACGTCCACAGAGAGGAGAGAGAGGGAAACCAAAGAGACAAGATCAGCCAGAAAAAATAAGAACAAAAACAATGAGAAAAGCCAAGAACAGGAAAAAAAAAAAAGAAAAGGATGGACTAAAATAAAACACAGGCATAATCCTCCAAACAAAGTAGAAGGAAAAACAGGGACAGAATTAGCATTTAGGGGATAGAACTAAAAGCTTTTACATTGTCTCACTTAATCTTCATACCAACTCTGAACAGGGAGCATTGTGAATTTCCATTTTGCAGAGGCAAAAATAGAGGCCTAGAAGCTCAACGAGTTATCTGTCCCGGCTGATGCAGACAGAAAATGGTGGTGCAGAATTTGAACACAGTTCTGCTAATTCCAAAATTTACACTGCCTTGCAGGCTAAACTAGGTTTAAAAATTACAAACGTGACTTCTAAAGTTGGTTGATTGCATTCATTAATACTAATAACCATATGTCCAATTATTCCTTAATTTGGGATAATTTCCTGAAATGGATCCTGAGTACATCTATTCCTTCAAAAACATCCTTCTCACCACACCAAAACTCCTACTTAGAGACCTAGGAATCTCTCCCACAAGGATAAACCATCTAATTACATCCAAGTGGCTAAGGTTAAAGGAGACAACAGTACACCACCTGTTCAGGTGACTCTAAAGCTGACAAGAACAACAACAAAACGTTCCCCTGGAATCGATCTGAGAAGGCCTAAAATTACAGCGTGAAAGAGTCAGAGGCGGCAGGTGACGGAGACTGCTTCCAAGATGAAAACATCCTTGAAGCTGATGATGAAAGAGTGGGAGCAATGGAGGTGGGGACCTGGTGTGTGTGTTGGGGCCTGAAGGCTACATATCTTACCTCCACATCAGATCATAAGCTTCTGGAGGGCAGGGACCCCACACGGCAGCACAGTGCCTTAAAATTCACAGGCACTCAAATATTAGTAAATAAATAAATGAATACTGGGTGTCATAGCCTTGTGAATTTGGGCAGGATCAAGATGCTCCCTTCCTTGTGAAAAGTAAAGTTACTCTTAAATTTTATTTTTATTTCCAGGATGGACAATGGCATGACTACGTTTTGGATCTAAACTAGCTCTTTTTTCAGCAAAAAGGAAAGTAGTGAAGGTCTGGGGTGCTCAGGAGCTGTCAGAAAGAAGTGCTAATCTGATAGCCTCACGGGATGCTGGTTTTCCTTGATCCCTTCAGTTTCTTCTCTACTGCTTTTTCAGTGTGTTCCCACTCATCGGACTCCTCACATCACACATTTAGTAGTAGAGGACACATAAATAGGACACAGAGTCTGCGCAGACAAGTGACTACCCAGTCTGGTTTTCCGGTTGGAATTCTTGAGCCTGTGGACGTTTGGGTCCTTCCACAAAGAACCTCTTCTGCAACATGACTTTACAGGCCTCAGATTTACTGGCGGTGCTCTGAACACAGTGTTGATTTTCCTGGTTCATAAAGCCAGGCAGAGTTCCTGCTGCCAGACAGGTGTATTTGTTTTTGAATGATAAGAACACTCACTTGCTCTCAGTTTAGGCTAATAATAAACACTTTAGACATCCTTCTAAGTCTGAAAGGGAAAAGAATGAAAAACCCTCCGGCAGCAAAGTCTGTTAATGGAGTCCTATTCCTTAGAGAACAGACGGCCTTGTACAAGAGCTGGGTGCTTGCTGACTAACCTTTCTGGCAAGAAAACTCTCTGAATGCTGCTTTTGAAAGCCCTCTCCCATCAATAGAGCCCTGAGGTTAGACTCACCTAATTAAAAGGGAGAAGACTTTGAGAGTCAGGAGAAATAAAATAATAATAAGAGAGTAAACTGGCCCCAGAGAGAGTCAGTGCCAATGAGGAAGCCTTTTTCACCCTTTAGCCTAGCAGCGTGTAAACATGCTGCCAGTGAGAGTGGAGGTTTGGTGAGACAAACAGTAACAAAAACAGACACAGAAGGGTAACCAGGGAAAAATAACAGCGTGGCAAAAGAAAATTCAGGAAGGAAGAAAACGAACAATTCTGCTTGTCCTTTAAGCAGCCTGAAAACCTAATGTTGCAAACAAGATGGTTTAGAAAGGGATGTATGTCCAAATTCACGGTGCTAGCTCTCTCTGCCTTGCTTATCAAGGTGGCGGATAACTTCCGGGATCAAGTTGTCCAGCAACCTGAGGAGGGTTAGAAAAAGCCGGGTGTGTCCTGGGCACAGATGCCGTAATCCACTCCTACCCCAGGTTGACTGAGCTTGAGCCACTAATTCCACTTTTCACCCTTGATTCTCAATCAACCTCAATGGGGTTTTCCTTGTTTTTTGTTTTTTTGTTTTTCCCATCACCAATCACTTGAAAGAAGCTTGCTTTGGCTGGAGTCTGACAGGCCTGGGCTCCACGGGCCGCAGGTTGGCTCCCTCACAGCTCTCTGTGGTAGAGGAGGAAGGACCAGCTCCCTCCGTGGAGGGGGTGGTGGGGCACAGCACACCCACCGTCTCCGGGGCTGTCTGGGACTGGCCCTCACCACCGGCCGGTGGCGAGGATTAGGCTTTGGGAATTTAGACACCAACAGCAGAAACAATGGCGGCACTCTGCGCGAGGTAGGCATGAAAGAGTGGCTGGGACCGTTTATCTTGCTATGTTTTATCCTTTTCGTGTAATTTCATCCTGAGAATGTCAAAGTCTCCACAAATCAAATTAACCCTTCCGTTTCTCCAGTTGTTCTCCATTGTTTTAATTCCCAAAACAACCCTTCTCTGGGATATTTTACTTACACCTTTATTTCGTTCCCTCCAATACATTTGCACTTGAAAAGTAAGAGTTGTTCTCTTTTGAAAGTGCAAAGTTACTCCTCAATTTTCATTTTTAATTCTAGGTGACACATACATGGATATTTATTTTAATAACTTTTCTCTAACTTAAAATTTTTCATAACTTAAAAAGTAAAGAAAAGAGTAGTAGAAGAACTTGAAAACGTTTCCTATTCTGACTTTTTTCTCTTCTTTAAAGTTAGGATACAGTTAGAAAAACTACAATTTAGAAAATTAAATTTATGTTTTCTGAGCCATATCTTTCTTTGGTGTGAGTTTGATGTTTTTCTTGTGACTGCTGGGGGAGCGTCATCTTTAAGGATGAAGCTGTGCAGACACTCCCTAGTCTGCACAACTTGCTTCACGGATTACTCTTGCCTCACTTTATAAATTATATTTCTTTTTTTCGGTCTTTTTACCATAGATCTGTGCAACAGTTATACAACCAGACAGAAATGTATCTTTAAGAGATGTGTGCTCAAGTATTTAGGGGCAAAGAGTCTGCAATCTGTTTAAATAGCTCAGATATAGCTAGCTAGGTAGATAGACAGATGTGCGTATATACATGTATACACATACCTATGCATATATATACTTATATACTTGTGTTTACATGATTTTGTGTATATGAAAGAAAGATAAGGTAAAATAGGTAAATAATAATTTATTGAAACTTTATGGAAGGTATGTTGGTATTAGCTATTCTTTCTCTTTTTTGTATGCTGAGATTTTTCCTGATTAAAAACTTAAAAGAGTTAATGGAAGGAAAGAAAGAGAGAGGAAAAGAAAGAAAGGAAGGAAAGAAGGAAGAAGTACTTCCTTCAGAAAGACACTGAAAGATGTGGGGTTTAGCTGCTTTGCTTTTTCTGGGAACTCTAATAGTCAACAGTAGCTCATAACGTAACATTTTAATCACCTCATGCCCAATTATTACAATTTACACGGTCACTTTGTGACCATCTGATACCAGCTCCCTTGGACTTCTTGTGAACTTTCGCAGAGAACTTTCTCTCTGAGAGCCCGCTAGAGTGTAACTGTAATTCTCTCTGCTGGCTACTGTTCCATGGGTCTGCTTTGTAGGTGAGACCTCCCTTGGCGTGAGTACTTTGCACCTGCTCTTTTGTGCAGTTCCAGGGTATCCTGTTATGACCACTTGTCTTGAGCTAGTTGAGGTAGGTATTGTTGACTGGATAACCCAACCAGTATCTGCAACCTAGCCACCTAGCCCTGGTCACCTCTACCCGAGATGGCATGTGTCACAGTTTTAACCGTTATAACACATGTGAAAATCTGCTGGGTGAGTCTTCTAGATAAGCTCTTGTTTTCCTTGTAAAATAGGCCTTTTCACCATTTTGCCCTTAAGCCTTTACTCTTTAGCTCTTTTTTTCCTTCTTCCTGCCTGGAATGCAAACATGAGGTCTGGAAACACAGCAGCCATTTTGAGATCCTAAAATGGCCAGAATAAAGATGACAGTGGAGTTGCGGGGGGTGTGAACGGACGGGGATATATATATATAACCCCTATATTTCTCTCCCCCTATAAGGATACGGGGGGGGTGGAGGGGGGAGTCTGTGTTCCTCACGGCATCAGTGAGCCACCTTGCCAGTCTTAAGAATTTCTGTTGAAAATAACAAATAACACCCTGTAGGACTGAACTCTTATAGAAGGGTTTTATATAATTTGTAGCTCAAAGCATATCTGACTTGATGGATTTTGCCACCCCCTAGAAGACTTGGTCCTGGCATAACTGGAGTCGGTCCCTGCCTCATACCATCCACTGATGCCCTAATCAGAACTTGGTCTGCCCAAGTTGCCAAAGGAGTGAGTCTTTCATGTGTCACATTTCCCACACTCCACTGAGGGATAGGTCTTAGGCTCTGGGCTTGACTGTTTCTTTTGTTTTCTTCAAATTCTTATTCTAGAAGAGCAAATGATTTCTTCAGACTATTGGGCTAGGTCCAGTTCTTTCAGACTAGGCAACCTTTCTACCTTTACCCCTAGAGAATCACCCAATGTTGAGCTGAAGAAATTGAATATAGTGTATGAGTGCTGGTAAGCGCAGCCATGAAATTTTTCAAGAAATAAATCTTCCTGTGGCCTGTAGAACTATCTGGAGACTCTGGGAGAAGAAGCCTGGTCTTCCTGTTAGGTAGAGAAACAGGGAGAAAAGACGTGCCTTGGTTTCGTAAACTTCCAAAGAACGGTTTAAGTAAATAAGACTCAGCTAGTAACTGGAGATGAAATCCTCGCCTTGGCGTTGCTGAAGTGCGAACCAAGACGGAACGACTTCCCCTTCCCCTAAGTCTCCCACTCTCAGCTTTGGATGGGGCCCCACAATGCTTTCTGTTTTGGAAACCCCAAACCATGCAAAACTGAGTAAGTCTGGGGTTTGAACATAGGAATAAAACAAGCCAAGTTTCCACCTGACCTTGGCTAACCTTGAAATCAATCGTTCTTCCAGTGCTGGTCTGGCTAACAGTGAAGTTTGTGGTTTCATCTTGGTTTTACCACAAAATTTTGTGATGAAACACTAAGAACCCACTGAGATTTGCACTTCCATTCCTGTCTTCTTTCAAACTCTTTTTGCAAATCCTGGTGACTTCTATAGCGTATGACTGTGTAACGCTGCAATTTCTCTTGTGTTCCACATGAGCTCAGAACCAAATTTCTGCCTAGCAACATCTTTTGAGAACCCAATGATGAAAAAGCAGAGAATATCGTTAAAATCCATCCAGTGTAAAATCAAGAATATTCTACAGATATGATGCAAATCTACATGATACCCCTATTAGACCAACTATAACAACAACTCAAATAATTTGAAAGTCATGGTAAAAAAATAATTGCTGGGGGTTGGGTATCATGGGCTAGAGGAGCTGGGGGAAAGAAACCCAAGAATTGACAAATGTTGCCCCAGACTAGAAGTACAGGAAACAGAACCAGCATAGCATCCTACAAGGTCCAAGGGGCAAATAGTCAGCGGGGATTTACTCCCACTGAAGAGCAGCTCCATGTTTTCCAGCCCACAAACCTGGATTGAATCAGGAAACACATGCAGAGAGAAGCCAAGAATCTGAATGTGCAGCCGTTGGCGAGGACAGAGTACCTCAGTTTCATGAGCTGATTTTGCCATTGTAAGTGTACGAAGTAATGTCTCCATTCTGTATTCTAGTGTGGCGTTGATGTAGGTACAGACAAGAGGCCAAATGGCACATGATCTCATACAACACAGATTCTTATCAACTAGAAATATTTGAGAAAACCTCACCAAGCCCCTATCATTTCCCATAAAATGCTAAATTCCAACACCCTTGTATTATCGGGATCCTGAGCTGAACGTAACCAGAAATAAAAACATAAAGCTCTCTCTGCCTTGAGCCCCTTCCAAATCTGAATCCTGTTTTGTAGGTTTAGAAATTTACCCACAAAAATCCATTAACCAACTTTGGAACAAAGAACGAGAATTTCTGCTTTAGCCCAACAGACTTCTTTTGTGAATTATGCATGATGTTTTTCAACGACAGGAAAAGGGAGCCAGGGCAGGAGAAATACATGCCACCAGCTTCTGTAAAATCCTGAAAGCATAAAACTGGTCTCATCATGTCAAGAATATACAAAAGACAATCCTTGGGTCAGTGATAACCTGGGGACCTTTAAAATTTCTGCCGAAGTGATCAAGAATGACCCCAGGGGGAGAAGGCTAACTGACTGTCCCTTTCTGGGGCCCTGTCCCTCCACCCCTCCCAGGTAACTGGCACACAAACGATGCTTTGCAATTTTCATGTCCTTCCCGAGGACCAATCTGGCAGAAACCTCATGAAGCTCTTAATAGACCAGGACATGTTTTTATTTTTCCTAGAGAGGTACTTCTACCTTCTTGCCCTCAATGGAAATTACAGTTGTCCCAATGCTCCTGTGAGTCCCATTCTACTGAATTATCCCATAAGTCACAGGTGAAGTTATCCTCAGAGCCCATTAGACTAAAGTGATGCAAAGTGACACATCTCCCCTAAGCCCCAAACAGGCACTATGGCAACAAAACCGAAATTCTAGGATGAGATTACACACTTGGCATTGAAGTCAACACATGGTCACAGCCACGGGGTCCCTAATTTCCTACCCTTCTGCAAGATATAGGTACAGGCTCCCTAAGGTAAAAAGCCACCCACCAACTGCCTACGTCACTAATGTATAAAACTCAGTGACCTCATAATATAAACAGAGGACTGTTTACTGTATTCTTGGCACTGGCAAGCTTATAAACAATAGCTCAGTGGAATATTTTTGCATTGAGTTTGTTTCCTGAGTATGTTTTTCTTATAAATCTGCACGCTTACCCAAAGATCACATTACTCATAGGAATCACAGCCGTCCTTGTAACCTAAAATCAAAGGAGTGTTACTTGGGCACTTTCCCCATCAGGAAGTGCAAATGATTCGCCCCTCTTGGCTTGAGGTATAGGATCGTTTATGTATGCAGCATCCAGCAGGTGGCACTCACATCCAAGGCTACAAGGAGCTTTCCTGCTGGCCTGGGAAATCTTTGTTGACAAAAAATTGGCTCATTACAGCTCGGTAAAGAGTAGACAGATGCCTTCTTAGTAAAAGACCGTGAATTTCATTCCTAGTGTCTTCTTAAATGAAGTTTTGGCATTGAATATAAGCCACTAGTCAATTAATGTCATTTTTTTGTATAAAGTAATCCAAGAATGGAGAAATTCCATACTGAAAATACAGCTTTGTGATATTATGGACTGAATGTGTGTGTCCCCCCACCCCCCAAATTCATATGTCGAAATCTAATCCATGATATGCTGGTATTTGGTGGTGCAGCCTTTGGGAGGTAATTAGGTCACGAGAGTAGCGCCCTCATGAATGGGATTAGTGCCCTTATAAGAAGAGGGCAGTGCAGCCCACTGGTGTAGTGGTTAAATTCATGTGCTCTGCTTTGGTGGCCCAGGTTTATAGGTTCGGATCCCGGGTGCAGACCTACACATTGCTCATGAAGCCATGCTGTGGTGGTGTCCCACATACAAAACAGAGGAAGAGGGTCACAGATGTTAGCTCAGGGCCAATCTTCCTCACTAAAAACATAAATAAATAAATAAGAAAGAAGAGTGCTGTGAACTACCCCTCTGCTCTTTGTCTATGTGAGGACCACAAGAAGACAGCCCTCTGCAAACCAGGAAGAGGGCCTCACCAAGAAGCTGACCATGTGGGCACACTGATGTTGGACTTCCAACCTCCAGAGCTGTGAGAAATAGTTGCTTGTTGCTGAAGCTTCCCAGTCTATGGCAATTTGGCCTAAGATTTTTCTGTTGTCCCTTTCCTGATTTGGCAACATCTGGACTAGGATTAAGGAACCACATATCACTTTGAATATTAAAAAAGCAAGCCAAAACCATTCTGAATAAGAATAAATTGAGCAGAGAAAAATAAAAGACAAAAAGATATTCTTTGCTAAAGATTCTCTTAATATGACAATAGTGGCTACAGTTGCCAAATGATGTTCATGAAGGCCCAGGAGTTGTTTTGCAAAAACGATGGAATCCTCATGATCATAGACCATGCTTAGAATTTATTTACCCTTGAGTCACATGTACTAATTATTATTATTAGTCCACATCATGTCTTGCTGAACAAGCAAAGTCAATCACTCTATTATTCCGGTAAAGTAAACAGCAGTGCAGCAAGGTCTCTTGACTGTATCAGACCAGGTTTATTGATACTAGCCAACGCTGCCACTTACAGAGCTCCTATTATCTGTCGTGCACTGAAAACCTGCAACATACAGCAGCTTATCTCCACAGCAGCTCTGTGGGGCAGGTAACACAGCCGTCTCCACTTTGTAGGAGAGGAAAATGAAGTTAGAGGCAAGTCACATAACCTAGTTTAGCCTCATCGCCTCATGTGTGAAGTGAGAATAAAAGTATAAACTATTTCTTAGAGTTGTGAGAACTAAATAAAAGAGTCCACACGAAGGGCTTAACCTAATAAGAGGAAGTCCTAAATATGTGATTACTACTGCTATTACTATCGCTACTCTCCTACTACTGCTGCTATGACTACTACTACTATTTATTATTATTATTATTATTAGAGGCTAAATTATTTGCTCAGGACCACACAGACAGCATGTGGCAGAGTCAGAATTTGAACTCAGGTCTGTCTGACTCCAACAGGTCTGTCTTAACCTCTGGGAGACAATGCCTCCAAATGACTAAATCAGGGTAAGTCTGAGAATAAAATAACACTTCTGGAAATATGGAAGTTACTGCCTTTTTAAACAGAGAATATACAAGAACGGTCATCAAAAAACAGCCATCTCTTTAAATTTCTCCTTCCCAACCCAAACACACACATGGACAAAGCAAATGCCTAGCCTCCTCCCGCCCATCTTGTGGGTCAAGATGACCTGTTATCTTTCTGACCAAAATATGATGTCTCAATGGTCATAAAATTACATCCTTCTCAAGGGAGGAGGGTAAGGAACTAGAATTTAATGAAGAATCATGACTCGTGCAAGCCAGAACCCCCAGCACTGAGTCACGCTCACCACCCCGTGAAATGCAGAGCCAGTCTTGATCCTGGCTAATCCAGTATCGGCAACATGACTTAAAATGAGCCGTAGACCTGTCACGTCAGTCACAGTGAGTGGTGATGCCGAGCTAGGGCATTAAGGGACAAGTTCTCTGTCTAGCAACCTTACTAAGCTTGGTGTGATTTTGAATATTTCTTGCTATGGTTCTAGTCCATCCACAAGTTAGTTTCACTCATTTGCCGTTCTTCTAACTGCCTTGGAATTCATATGTGAAATTGTTTTGGAGCAGTATATTAATAAATTGCCCTGAAACTCTATTTCTAGTTTATCAGAATAAAGTGAATTGATTTAAATTATACTGTTTGAGTTTTTGGATTCCCAAGACTAGTGTGTAAGTCTGTGTTTTAAGCTATCATTTCTTAAATATCTGCCATGCACTAGGTACTATGCTTAGCACTTTAAAAACATTATTGTATCATTTAATCTTCAAATGATTAGTCTAGGCCAAGAGCTCTTAACCTAGAATTAAGCACAGGTGTCCATGTATTAGATGGGGGGGGGGGAATCACATCTATATGTTAATTAACCTCTAAATGAAATCTAGCACTTCCTTCAATTATCACTGTAGGCAGCAAACCAAATAACATTCATAGTACCTGTGACCTTATCACCAATAGAAATCCCAGATACTTTCAAGTCACATGACAGTTGGTGCAGATATCTCAAAATATGATTTATACTAGTCACTACTTAAAACTTACACTAATTATTATTAGACCAATTATTATTAACTGCTATTAGGGTCTAATAGTAATTAACAAAAGATAATATATATTACTAGATCACAAACTTCGTAATTTTGCTAAGCACAGTTCTTTACAGTTGATTTCAGTGGTATGCATTTAAAAACACTATTTCTGTAGATTTCACAAAACTGCCCAAGGTACAAAATAGGATAAGAATCCCTGGTCAACTGATCACATTAACCCCACTCCCCGCCACCAGTGATTGGTTTATAAATTAGCATATGACCCAATTCTGGCTGATGAGACAGAGAAAAGTCTGTTGGGGGAAAGGGGCTTCTAAAAAAGGCTTCCTACCTCCTGAGAGCTCCAGGAAGAGAAAGTGCTTCTTGTCCCTCTAGAGGCAGCTGTCACTGGATGAGATGCCTGGAACTGCTGCAACCATCTTGCGACCAACCCAGGGATGACATGGACTCCGGGAAGATCATCTGGCCCGGAGCATTGCTGAGAGCAGGCTCCTGGAGGCCATGCCTGGAGTCTGCCCTACTGTTAGCCGGTTTGCCTTGTGGTCTTCTGCTATTTGCAGCCAAACTCCCCTTAACTCTCTGCTGCTACACTTAGGCCTTAGAGAAAAGGCCTCTCTGAGAAGGTGACACTCAAGCTGAGGCAGGAAGGATTAGGTGGAAGAGAGGCAATGTTAAGAGTCAGAGAAAACAGTATCTGTAAAGTCTTTAAAGAGTGAACGACTTTGGCTTGTTTGAGACACTGAAAGCTTGTAGGACTGAAGTATAGTAACTGAAGGAGAGCGTGAAATGAGATAAGATTAGCAGAAAAGATCATCCAGGGCCTTCCTGGCCACAGTAAGAAGTTTAGAGTAATTCTAAGTGTACTAAGGAGTCACTGAAGGACTAAAAGCAGAGACGTGATGTGATCCCAAGATCATTCTGGCTGCTGCTGTTTGGAGAATATCCCGGAAGAGGGAGTGGAGCAGTGGGCAGACCACCTGGGGCTACCGCCGGAATCCAGGTAAGAGACCATGATGGCCTGGGCTATGTGTGGGAATATGAATTGGAACAGTTATTCTCAAATCTTAGTTTGCAGAAGAACTGCTTGTGGTATTTGTTTAAAATGTAAGTAAGCACACCAGTGGATTTTTACACAGGTGGTCTACAGGCCACACCTGTGAAACACCGAAATAGACACATTGCTTAAGACTTTTGACTCTGTGGTTAAGACCACCTTCCAAAAATAACCACCTCCCATTCTTTATGTTCTCCCAATATAGGGGCTTCCAGCTTTCTCAGGTAAAAAGTCCTTAAGTCCCAAACTCCTTAGAGTCACATGGTTTTTCCTACAGTCTCGCCTCAGTCTCCCCCAGCACAGCCTCTCTGTCCCTTGTGCTGTGCTCAATAAAAGAAGAAGGGTTCCTATCACTCCCTGTCCCTTATATTCCTGAACATTGTTCTTTCATCCATCCTAAAAGCACCTATTACGCACCATCTAGGTGCTTGGCACCGAGGTGGGCACTGGTCATACCAAGATAAATAAAACACGCCCTCTTGTATGATGGATGTCCGTCTTCTTCCTCTATTTATCTTCCCTCAGATGCCTTCTTCACTATAAAATTTGCACAGCATTATGAAGGAGAAAAAAGAGAACACAAAAAGAAATTAGATTCAGCAGGAAACAGGAGCAGGAGAATGTTCAAGAACAAAACTTTGGAAAAATATAGACTGATGAAACTCTCCTCAGATCCTGCATGTGGATCCGTTCGTATTATGAATCTCTTACCTGAACCTTAAACAAAGAAGAGGCAGCCTCTAATATCAGGACAACATCTGACAACCTGAGAGCACTCCAGAGGCACGTATTGAATACTCAGAAAACTGTGTGTCTAGATGTTTATAAACTACTGAGGTCAAGGTTTTCTCATTGATAGGAGGAAGAAACAAAGAGGAACTATACTGTATCTTCTAAAGTTGACCAAGACAAAGTCCCCAATCACTGCATGCTGATCCCATCTGAGGTGCAGACAATTTGAGAATCCATAAGATATTATTTGGATTTTATCCCCAGTCCTAGACCCTTTGGTGTTTAATTAATGTGCTGAACCCAACCTTATACTCACCTCTCTAACCCCCTCCTGAATAAGACTAGAGGGGGGTTACTGAGAGGATAATTACTGTTTCTGGAAATAATACCAGAAATCCTTTTTTCTTCCTCCCCAAAGCCCCAGTGCATGGTCGTATATCCTAGCTGTAAGTCCTTCTAGCTCTCCTACACGAGCCACCGCCACAGCATGGCAACTGACAGACGGTGGGGTGTGGTTCCACAACTGGGAAACAAATCTGGGCTGCGGAAGTGGTGAGCACCAAACTTTAACCACTAGGCTGCCAGAGCTGGCTCCAGAAATCTTTTTTTAAAGGATAAATATTGAGGTGTTTTGAGTGGGCATGAAAGGTGACAATAAAGCTTTAAACACTTCTGCCAAGAGCCTTTAAAACTACAGTTATTCAGTAAGTAACAGCCTGTTCTCAAGTGTTGTCTAGAACCTCAATTTTTTTTCTAGCCACCCTGACAAATGATAGGTTAGACAATTGCAATAAAAGGAAATTATTATGTACAAGTTACACTCTCAATAAATAGACTTTGCCAACATGATGGGCACAGTAAGGCTTTCAGGTTGCCGGAATTCTCCTTGGCAGATCTCTGATGAAAATGTGGTTCTGATTTAAAATATAGAAAGAAATCTAAAAATGTAAAAATATAGAAATGGAACCCTGACAGCCTGAAAGCTTTATTATGCCTTCACAGACCTACCGTTCACTAAGGGGTGAGGGGAGAGGCAGATGAAACTGCCTGCGCAACTTTACAAACTATTTATAAAATTGGAACATGCAGTCCAACAGGCATTTTGCTTTCTGCCCTGCCAAATGGCCAGTCTCACTGGATTTGGGGTAGTTGTTTTTATGGGACTGTGATGCTGGTTTTACATAGGCACAACCTTAGGCACTCGGAAGAATCTGATTTTAAAAATGTAACCACATCTTATACACATGCTTTTACTTGTTAACCAATACAACTACAGTTGTTCCAAAAAGATAGTGCTGTTTATATTAGATTTGTTCTTCCTGGTTTAATACACAGTTAAACACCAATAAATTCCACCAAATCTAGTTAGATAAAAATCTTTCTCTCGTTACCTTATGAATATTTACTATGGTTAACACTTTCCCGGGGTGCTCTGGCAACATTTTTGTTTTGGATTTTTTAATGAAAACCATGCCTAGCAAAGGTCTAGAGTCACATTCTAAAGACAAAGATACTCTTTTTTAAATTTTTATAATAAAAATATTTATCCCCCCAAACATGAGTGATAATACATATTATGTGCAATTCAATGAAACCAGTCTATACTTTTGTTACAAAATATGTGATGGTACCATGAAGCTTTTCCATGTGACTGTACTTCTCACATCTCAGGGACAATCTGTCTCAGGGCTCAGTCCACCAGCGTGATCTTATCAGGAAAGATTGGGAGGGAAGATAAGGCTATCCCATTTATGATTGCATCTACAGTCCATGGCCAAATCCCACTGTTAAAGCTACATTTGATCCAAGAACCATTTTGTGGATTGCTCAAGAATAGCATTTTTAACCATAATTCTCTTCTCATTGTTACCAAGGAGAGCTTTCTTTATATTTAACTGGTCAACTCTTTAAAATAAATGTGACCTCAATTCTGTGAATTAGCTAGTGGCCATGGCAGATTCTTTCTGAGACGGCCACTTTTAAATTACACTACCAGGAGGGGGAAGGACTTTCTTGATGGTGGTTTTCTAACTATTGCCAAATTCTCAATGTAAAAAAACGTCCCTTGTAAGAGTTAAAGGTGGAGCCGGCCCTGTGGCTGAGTGGTTAAGTTCGCCTGCTCTGTTTCAGTGTCCCAGGGTTTCACCGGTTCAAATCCTGGGCGCAGACATGGCACCACTCATCAAGCCATGCTGAGGCAGTGTCCCACATGCCACAACTAGAAGGACCCACAACTAAAAATACACAACTATGTACCAGGGGGCTTTGGGAGAAAAAGGAAAAATAAAATCTTCAAAAAAAAAAAAAGAGTTAAATGTACATCCCACCACCCCCTTCCCTTGCATCCATCATAAACGAAGACAGTACTGAGTCTGAAATCTCATGAGATGCTTATTGTTTTAAACCTTACTTTTATTATCATTGCTTGTACACACATGGCCACGAATTTCACTTTTCTCTGTGCTTTCATTCTAGGCAAAATTTCTAATTTAATTATAACACTGAGAGCATATCTAAATATTTGGATTCATTTCTGGTGAAAGCAGGGGGGCCAGAAGTTTAGCAGAGATCGCTGTGCTGACATGTCGGCTTCCTCTACGTGAAGCTATTGGCTCAACCAGGCAGCACAAGCACAGCAAAGTTCACTCACTCATCTAATCCCTTCTAACATTACATTTTTCCTTTTTCAAATCTTTGGCTAATTAAAAGCACAACCTTATCAGGAAAAAAGAGAAAATATTTTCTCTTATCCCTTTTAATCCACCTTAATTACCAACTCTGATGTCTCCTCCCACTAGCCTTAATTAATTACCCACTGTTGATGAATCAATCAATCATTCAATAAAGATAGTATTTATTTCCATTTCTAAAGGCAATTGCATCAAACCTAGCTGGAATGGTTATGGGAATATGTGAAAGAGGAAGACATAAGGAAAAGAAAGGCACAGGTTTTAAGAGATCACTAGATAAATCAAATTGCTGAGAAAATAAATGTTACAGTGACCTCTCACTTCCCGTACGTTACCAAAAACTGTGGACTTTAGAAATTCACTGCTGGTCTTGTATAATCTCACAGCTGATCCAACATAAGACATTTTTTTTTTTTTTAAGATTTTATTATTTCCTTTTTCTCCCCAAAGCCCCCCGGTACATAGTTGTATATTCTTCGTTGTGGGTTCTTCTAGTTGTGGCATGTGGGACGCTGCCTCAGCGTGGTCCGATGAGCAGTGCCATGTCCGCGCCCAGGATTCGAACCAACGAAACACTGGGCCGCCTGCAGTGGAGCGCACGAACTTAACCACTGGGCCACGGGGCCAGCCCCCTGATCCAACATAAGACATTTTTTGACACTGAGCTGAGCCAGAGTGCCCTTCTTCTGGGATGGTACTTCATCATCCTAATAATCCACTTCTTTCCATAAAACCCAATAATTTATTTTTTTCTTACTAAAAACATTTACCAATCTGGTAGCCCAAATAGATACAGTATACATATAGCCATGAGTATCATAGTCTCAATAATTTACCAAAAATTTAGAAATTTTTGTTTTTCTCTCATAAAAACTATTTGTAGATATTACATTTTTCGTTCGGTCTTAAGAGGTTAAATCAATTAAAATATGTCTAAACAGAAAGTCTTCAAAGCTTCCTCAGCCATCAGCTTAACAGCCATCCACACAAAAAAAATACCACACTAAAGTCTAGAACAGGAAGTATAGAGTAAATACTGCTTCCAGTTATGGCTGGAACATAAGTGAGCATGGGGGAGGTCTTCAACCTGAGTTTCAGCCAGGATGCCAGGATTGTTGACACCATTTCCAAGAGAACTAAAGAATATTAAGGTGAATTATTGCTCAGGACTTGAGGTTTGATTTCTCAGCTAAGAAATATGGCATGTTAGAACTCTCTTCTCTTAATGGATGAAAGACATAATTTCAGCTTTTAAACAGTTGGTGTGCTCCCTCAAAAAGGGCCAACGCTGGAATTACAAATAGTAGTCTGCATTGAATTGGTCTTCACAATTTACGCTAGCCTATGCACCGAAAGGAGCTATAGATCAAGCTCTGGACCGTCTGCCTCTTCCCCACTCTACCCAGGAGGGGATGCAATCACCAAAGACTTTCCCAGAGGAAACCACAAAACCCAATACCTCTGGTACCACCTGCATGTCCTTTTGCACAAGGGTTGGCCCACCCCAATTCTGTTTAATTCTCGAGAGCCAATGGGTATACAGCAGTACCATACCACTGAATTTCACAACGTAACTTGAGACAGGCTGAATCTGAAAGGCTATTTTATGGGTATTTTGCCTCCACTCCTGCAGGTAATACAATCCGCAGTACACCACGGGCTAGCAGTATTTGACTCTCCTAATCCTCATTACCATACTTCCTTTGGTACACTTCTCAAGGGAAGTATGGCTGAGAGCATGAGCAAAGAAAATAGGTCTTTCTTAATCATTTGTCTTGTTCATAAGAAGTGTAATGGAAGATTAGAATCAATCTTGAGTCTTGTTTGTGAGTTTTGTTCATACTTCACAAGAATTTGGTACATTTGTTTTACTATATTTTATTCACCTATTCAAACTCAAGTCTTCATTATCCCAAAGTCATGCATGATGTATTTTAAAAAGAGAAGGGGTCACAAATTATAACATTTATTGTGTGCATGTTTTTACAGTAAATTTGCCATCGAATAATGCTAAAAGCTTGAACTTTGAAAAATAAAGTTTATATTTCATTTCTTGTTTAGCTCAGCTAACTAATGTTGAAATCTTTAAATTTTATAGAAAATTGACCTATTTTTCCATTGTTTTTTGGCCTTAATCAAAAGGAAAAAAAATGCTTTCAACAGTTGAAGGACCAGTCCGCAGTCTGAGATTGACCTATAATTAAAATCATAAAATGTCATGCATCCTAAAATATACTGAAAACATTCAGTATGTTATCTTCTAAGCACTCCATGAGGGCTAATTTGTTTAGCTATGACGAAGTTCCAATAGAAAACTAGATACTCTACTTCTGAGCATATTGACTGATCAGTCCTTAGTTTCGTGGAGGTTAAGTGATTGAATAGGGACTACTGGCTCAGCACTTACATAGATATCCTTTAGAGAAATTCTAAAATCAAGGGGCCCGAATTTCCACATTTATTTTATTTCACTATGATATCTTCGGCAGAGTAGAAATAAGACTCCCCTCTTTATCCAGCCTTCAAGTTCAGTCATATATTTTTTTATTTGAAATGAACTCAAGCTGATTTAGAGCGGACATGCCTTTTGGAATGCCCTGAGGCCTTTCATTTCTTGAATGATATGCTACAGCTTGGAATCCACCCAAACCTCCTTGAAGCACCCTCTGCAAAGTTTAATCTAATTTAAATTAACTTACTCCTCAGCATAAAATGCTCTTTCTTATTTCTCTTTATTTTTTGAGTGAGCACATGGACATATTTTTGTGTTTCTAAA